CCTTTTCTTCTTTTTTTTTTTGTTATATACTAGAAACACTCCTGAGGCTTGCTGACTCTGAAGATTACCTACTTCTGGTGATTCATAGAGGGACCAATGATGCCATGAAAAAGACATGATGTTGTATTTCTGGGGATCATGAAGACTTAAAGGACACTGGTGGTGTTTCCATCACTGATGCCGGTTGAAAGTAGGGATTTCAGAAGAAGAGGCTATTTTGGAAGCAGCTTTGGTTAAGAAGATGGTATCTAAGAATGGGACTTGGGTTTCTGAATCATACATCAAGACACAGGGATAATGGAAAGGGTTGCATGGAAGAAACCACCCAGTGAAGAGATACTACAATAGGTTGCAAGTATTGAGAAGTTAAATGGAAGGGGGAGTTACACTGGGGACCTTGGATGCTATAAGTGACTGAGATTACAATGGTCTCTGAGGAATGCTTTGCTCCGTTGTGAGTACTGTTATTTTTCTATGGCTCTGAAGTGAACTCTATTTGTTTCCTTTAACCTGAAAAATAAACTTGTTTATACTTTGAACTTGTGAACTTTATGCCTTCCTGCATGTGGGTTGTAGTAGTGAACCAGAAGACTAGGGAATTCCATCCCTCCCTGCCAAAGCATACCCAGATTTTTCCCATCAGCAAGGGACCTCTGACTTAAAGGTTACACAAGCATGAAGACAAAATTACATGAAGTATTGTGTTCAGTTTGATTTATGGATTAAGAGACTTGAATCCATGTGACAGGATCAGTTGAGGGAACTGGAGATGAATAGTCTAGAGAAGAGAAAACTTGATGCTACCCTTTAGATATTTGAAGGAGTTCTTAGGTTGAAGAGGAGCTATATTTACTCTCCTTGGTTCCAGTGGGCAGAAATAAGACCAATGAATGTAAGGGAAACAGATTTTGGCCTAGTGGAAAGAAGTTCCAAACAAATGGGGCAGTCCAAAAATCGAAATGAGCTGCTTTGGGAAGTAGTGAGTTCTCTGTGACTGGGGGGTGTTTAAATAAAACCTGGATGACCGCTTGTTAACAGGGCATGGTACAGAAGGGATTAATACCTGAAGTAGGAGGCTAGACCAGATGACCTCAAAAGCCCCTTCAAACTGAGATTCTATAATTATAAAATAATTCATAATTACTATATATATATATATATATATATATATATATATATACAACATACATATAATTAATAATATATAATTACAAAAGAAGGTAAAAGAATTACATTGACTATAGTTTGAGGAAATGGTGTGTGGTATAGTGGGAAAACCATCTAACCTTGGGATAATGACCATGGCTTTTGTGGGGCCTAGTTTCATAGGGAAAATAGGATTTTGGAGAATTTGAGAGGTACCACAAGATCAGAGACTTATATTACCAATGAGAAAATGTACTTAGAGCTATATATGCCATCTCCCCTAATTGACTGTGAGTCTTTGAAGGCAGGAACCATTACATTTTTGTCTTTGTTTCCCCTGTATCAAACCCAGTCCCTGGCACATAGTAGGGGCTTACTAAATGATTGTTGATTAGAGAAGGGCAAATGTTTGTTTAAAAAAAAATAAAAAAAATAAAAGGAGGGGGAGTGGGGAAGAAAATGGTATGTGTGAATTATAGGGGCAGCTAGGCGGCACAATGGATACAGAGCTGGGCCTAGAGTCAGGAAGATCTGAATTCAAATTGAGCCTCAGATACTTACTAGCTGTGTGACCCCAGGCCACTTGTTTGCTTCAGTTTCCTTATCTATAAAATGGAGACAATAGTAGCACCTACCTCCCAGGATTGTCATGAGGATCAAAGAAGATAATAATTGTAAAGTGCTTAATACAGTGCCCGGCACATACTTAAGTACTACATAAATGTTAGCTACTATAATAACAGGAATAGCAATAGCTATTATTATAGCATGTAATAATAATAGTATCACTACATATTAATATACTGTTAATATTTATATATTATATTATTATTATTACTATTACATGCCATTTAGCCCAGCTTTAATATAATAATAATAATAACTATTATATGCCAGTTAACACAACTTTTATTCCTTGCATAATTTAAAATATATTAATGTTGTGTGGGACAAGTGAAAGTTTCTCATATGAAATGGAAGCTATGCCCCAAAATTTAGTTAAGGCTTTAACATTAGCTAGGCCTAAGTTTCATTTTCCTGTAAATCATGTGATCAGGTCATACATCTGTTGCCTACCCCCCCCCCCTGTTTTGTAACCACCACCCCAGCCTTGTCTTTGCCAAATAAGGCAATCTTCTATCTCCCAAGCTTGTTTTGGGTAAAATGTATCTCTTAGTTTCTGGGTAGAATGTAAGGTCTCTCACCTCAACCAATGGGGATAAAGAGATTCAGGAGGGTGGGATTTTCTTAGAATTGTTTTGTCTAGGGGTATATAACTGCTTGCTTGCTGCTTGTATCCTGCCTCCCTACTCCAGTCCGCCCTGGGTAGGTGATGCCCAATTCTCACGAGACACTTGCTAGAATAAAACTTCTGTTTCTACTGAGAGAAACCTCTGAATTTTTATTTGGGTAGGTGGTCTCAATCCCACTCAATGTTAATAAATTTAAATTTAATTGTGAATTTAATTTTGATATTTTTTTATATTACCTTCATTTCCAAATATCTCTGCCCTTCTCTAAGCAGTGAGCTATCCCTTGTAACAAAGATAAAAGAGAGGGGAACCAAAATCATTTTAGCAAAACCATTCAACACATTGATCATGTCTAACGGTATGCACTATTTCACATCCACAGACCCCTGCTTCTGCAAAGAAGGGGAGCTGAATTTTTAAAATTCTTCTCTGGGACCAAGCTGGGTCGATAGTAGTGAAAATCTGGAAAAGGAAGCTGTTGTCATAAACAGTCAGCATGGCTTCATCAAGAGCTTGTCATGGCAGATTATCCTGATTTCCTTTTTTGACAGGATCATAAATCAACCGACAAACATTTATTAAGTACCTACTAAGTGCCAGGCATAGAGCTGTGCACTAGGGACACAAGGAGTTTACATTCTATTAGGAGAGACAACATATTATGTAAGCATACACAAGATTTAATCAAAATAAGTAGGAAGTATTTTTTTGGGGGGTGATGTTGCTACCTAGATTCAGGCTGAACTGGATTAAATGAAATTTAATGGGGATAAATACAAAGTTTTATGCACATTTCAGCTCTGTTTCTATGATCCTATGATTCTGCTCAGTGTCTTGCCCGTAGTAGGACACTCAACGATAAAGTAAATATAGCATCACTAATTTACAAAAAGCTATTCACTGAAGTAATTCTTATTAGCCCTGAGAGGCAAGTGAGTATAACTTTAACTAAGAAGTCAAGAAAGCTTAGATGGCTTGAGCCAGCTTAGAGCTGGGCGCATGAATGGTGAAATGGGGATTTGAATTTACAGTCTGGGTTACTTTCCAGGACCCTTGAATAAAACATTGCACAGCCAAATAGAGTTGCCGATACTGGCCCGCCTCCCAGGATAGTTAGCCATGCCTAAAAATTAGCATACACTTCATGTTATTTTGGAATTTTCCACCATTTCTGGCTCACTGGAGCAAGGGTCTGTAAACACAATGGATTGTTGTGTTTTTCTTATGAGCTCTGTCTGGGAAGAATCAGTTGTTTTCTTTTAGGAAAACCACATGAATCCCATTCTGAAACCACCCACAATAATACAGACTTCCCTTTGATTTGTATGTGACTAGGGCTTCCTTCGCCCATCTTGGAGTAATGCTGCCATTAAAAAAAAATTATGTTTTTTTACCTGGCATGTTTTTTGTTGAAGCAGGTCATGGGTGCTGGATAACAATGTTGCAAGCCAAAGAAGGCAGTAGAATGAGGCAGGTGGGCATTGATGGGATTAGAGGAGAATGGATTAAGATTAGCTAGATCAGTAGGGTGGGGAACCTGCAGCCCTCTGTACGGCCTTTTGACTGAGTCCAAGTTTTACAGAACAAATCCTTTTATTAAAAAAAATTCTGTGAAGTTTGGATGAAGTCAAAGGGCTGCACTTGAGGCCCTAGAAGGCCACCTGTGGCCTTGAGGCTGAAGGTTCCCCACCCCTGAGCTAGGTGGTACAATGGTTAGAGCATGGGGGGTCTGCATTTAGGAAGACCTCCCTTTAAATGTGGCTCAGACACTTACTAGCTGTGTGACCTTGGGCAAGTTACTTAACTTCAGTTTCCTCTTTTGTTAATTGGAGATAATAATAGCACCCACCTCCCAGAGTTTTTATGACGATCGAATGAGATAATAATTGTAAAGTGCCTGGCACATTGTAAACACTATATTCAATAACCATTTATTAAGTGCCTACTATATGCCTGGCACTATGTAAATGTTAGTTATTATTATTATTATTATTATTATTATTATTATTATTATTATTATTGTTAGACCTGAAGTTAAAAAATAATGCCAGTGAAGTAAGTAATCTTTCTTTGAGGTTATTCAACAATTTTGTTGCCAGCTGACTCGATCTCACTTCTAAACTCCCACCACACAAAGTAAGGATCTTCAGATTGGTAGAATGGCAAAAATAAAAACGAAAACACCACATGACCGTCCCTTTCCCCCTCTCCCAAAAAACAACCCAACAACCATATTTAGGATGATTGTCCAGGGTGATTGTTACCCAAACCGGTGAAGCCCAAAATACTCCTTTTGATGTTAGCTCCCTCTGACAGAAATCAGAGATGCTCAGAGTGCATTATCACTAGCTAACTGTGGGTGGGAGGGGAAGAAGGTTTTTTTTTTTCTCATACCCTGGACCTTTTAAAATTAGCCACAGCAGTTTCCAATTTAGTGGTTCAAAAGCCTCCCATTAAGCAGAGAGAAGGGAGAGGGCAGATGACTTAATAGGCAGGCTTGGGGTTATTGGCAGGCTTCTTTTTCCTCTGGGGCTCCAAGTTTTCATGCTCTGTTTGAAATTAAATTGATGCCTTCTCTCCAAAAAAAGAGGAAAAAAAAGCCACCCAAGTCTGAAAAGTAGTTGCTATGCTCCTTTTTTGCAGGGGACTTCCTGTCATTGGCTTTGGGTAAGGCAGTTCACTGTGTCCTCAGTTCACCTCTGACAGGGCTAAACCATATGCAAATAATGGGGCATTTCAGCGTCTGACCGAAAAAAAAAAAAGAAAGAAAAGAAAAAAGAAAGAAGAAACAAAAAAGTAAGCCCAATTAATTCTGGTAGCTATGCAGCAAAGCAGACAGTTATGGTAAGGAGACATCCTGTTTTGCTATTCACCTGTCAGTTGCTGGGGTAGTGAACTGTAGAAGCTGGGGGAAAGAAAACATTCAAAACATTTGCAGGCCAGTCTTCTTAGGCCTCAGTCATCTGTACTGCTATTCTGGGAGTTAATTAGCTTTGGGGTGGGGGTCGGGGGTGAGAACGGAAAAAAGTAAGCTCTGTAATATTCTTACTGGAAATATTTCGAAATGGAGTAACTGTTTATTTTTGAAAGAGTCAAATAAATGTTAGCATAGCCTTTGTTGCTGAACGCTTAAAAGTTCTGGGTAGAAGAGGCACTTTTAAGTTGTACTGACTTCAGGAAGAGGGAGAGTTATTACATGCCACAGATAATACAGACCTTGGTGCTGCTTTAATAAATCAGAGTCATTTGGGTCATGGTTCCTATTTCCTAGCTTAGAGATAGTATCTTTTGGTTAAAAGAAGAACGATCTTTGGGGATTTCTCCATTTTAACCAAGGATAGAATAAGAAGCATAAAATTTGGAGCAAGGGGTTTTTTATGGAAGTTATTAAAAATACTTTTGTAGATGATAATAATAGACAATACATTTGCCTTCCCTTTCAAGTTTGCGCAGGGCTTCACATATATTGTCTCATTTAAACCTTGCAACAACCTTGTGAGATTAGGTGTTATTATTATACTCATTTTAAAGTGGGAAACTGAGGCAGACAGCAGTTTAAGTGACTTGCCTAAGGTGTCCTGAGGGAGAATTTGAACTGAGGTGTCTCTGAGTTTGAGTGCTTGATCCACTTTGCCACCTAGCTTCCTGTGGAACCTCTCAAACTGTTATGGTCTCCTTACTCAGGAATGTTATAAGGTGATAGGGTGGGAAAAGCAACCGACTTGGAGCCAGAAGTCTTATATTGAAAGCCTAGCTTATTCCTTATAAGTCCTGGGACCTTGGCTTAACTTTTTTCAGGCTCAGCTTTCTCATCTGTAAAATGGGGATGTTAACACTTGTACTTAACTCATGAAGAGATAATATGTAAAAAGCTGTCATAATCAAAAGATGCTATGTAAATGAAACTCATATTTATGAGAGTCAGACATGTTTTTGCTCTGGATGCCGAGTCGAGATGCACGTTGGAGCCCGTAGTTGCAGTCCTGCATAGAGACGTTACTGGGTGGACCAAGAGTTCGACTTCTTCCCTTTCCAGTCTCTGGTTCTAAGGATGCTTCCAAGTTTATCATTGTATTAATTTTTATAGGTAGACATGAGTCATGGGCACTTACAGATTTTTTAAAAATGAATATACTTAAACTAAGTAAAACTTTCCTTAGTCTCTTGAGTAAAACGTTACTGAAGGAATGGCTGGTTGGCTTTGGAAATGGATTGGAGATTGATACCTTTCAGTCTATTGCTTGTTTACATGAAATAAGTTATGGCATGTATAAAGAATTGGCACCATATTCTATAACATGGCTATATACATGTACGTATATGGTGTGTCTATGTGTGTGTGTTTTTGCAATGCTGTGTCCTGGCACAGCATGGTATGATAATTATAAATGTTTCACGGTGTGGCTGGTATACTCAAGGACCACTTTGGGGTTCTTTGCTTTCTCCCTTGGGCTTCTGAAGGCAAGTATAGTCAGGGTAGGACTCCACTGGAAATAGGTAGGGTGTTAATTGGGCTGCTAAGTGTAGTAGAAAGAAAAAAGGAAAAAAAAAGAAAAAAAGAAAGTTACACGGTAACTTTATTATATAATTAAAAGAATAGTAAGTTGTACATAGTAGATATAATAATTTTTTTTCCCTATTCTGCTGTGGTATGGAAATGCTTGTTTTATTTCTTAAGTTCAGAATAAAATAAATAAAATTAGGAAAACAGAACACTCAACATGAAAAAGAAAGAATGCTGGATTTAAAAGTCCAGGGATCTGAGTTCAAATTCCAGCTCTGCTATTTGCTCTCTATGTGGCCTTGAGAAAGTCTTAACTTCTCCGGGCTTCAGAAATGATTGTAGTAAATGATTTCTAAATCACGTTTTAGCTCATAACCAATGATCCATGACTCTTCAGCACTCAGTGCTCAAAGTTCAATTTGCCTCCTTCCCTTGTCCTATAGAACGTAGTTTGTTACCGTAATCATAACTCGTCTTTTCTAGGGTTTCATGGTAATGATTCATTTTACTTACATTTGAATGGAAAAGCCCTCAGAGGCTACCAGGTGCACCTCCTTCAGTCTACAGATGGGAAAACCATAGTAGGGAAGAAGTATTGACTTGTCCAACTAAATCTCTGAGGTAGATTTTGAAATCATGTCTTCTGACCCCAGGGGCCAGTATTTTTTGTTGTTGTTGTTATATCAAGCAACTTATTCTTATTAAGTGCTTACTCTATATCAAGCACCATGCATATTTTTGGTGTTATTGTTCAGTTGTCTTAGTCGTGTCCCACTCTTCATGACTCCACTTGGGGTTTTCTTGGCAAAGATATGGGAGTGTTTTGCAATTTCCTTTTCCAACTCTTTTTACAGATGAGGAAACAGAGGCAAACAGGATTACAGTGACTTGCCCCGGGTCACATAGCTGGTAAGCATCTGAGGCCAGGTTTGAACTTAGGAAGATGAGTGTTTGTTGCCAGCAATTAAATAGTGCAGTGAATGGAAGAGCACGAAATAAACTTGAGACATGGGCCAGGCGGAGCAGCAGAATTGACTCAGTTTATTCATCCCAGGGTACAGGATATATAGAGAAAACCTAGCCTAACTTCAAAGAGTCCTCCTCATGAGATACTCCCCAAACCATCTGCTGAGGATGTGACAACATACATTTTGTTGTTATCAGGGTTCCTAGATTGGGTTGTATTTTCCAAGGTTTTCCCAGGTGCCTTGGTGCCACCTGCATAGAGGAGTGAATGTGTAAATCTAAGGCTCAAAGATTGAGAAGGAATGTCTCAGGAGCCTCCATTGCAGGGGGAGATTTGGAGAGCCCTGCTTCCTAAATGATTGAGCCCTGTGGGTTAAGCCTGGGCAAGAGTCAGACTCTGTCCTGGATCTTAAACCCGGATTGGACTCTTAGAGCCGGCCCTCAACAAGTGCTCCTGACTTTGGGCCCCGTACTGTACACAGTGTGCCACCTATGTAGTAAACAATAAATCACCCTTTCATTCATACATTTCATTCATAGTGAGGCAGTCTGGTTAAAATAGAATCCTTGAATTAGAAGGAAGAAGAGGAACAGACATAGCTAGAAATGAATGATGCAACTTCTGAAGACCAAAAGAAATTGACCAACCCTTGTAATTTTTTTTAACAATAAATTCAGCCAACAGTCATCAAGCTCTTACTAGGTGCAAGGCACTTTGCAATCTACTGATGAGTTGGAGACAATACAAAGTAGTCCATATTCTCAAGGGGATTTATGAGTATTTTACAAGATAAAAGGAGTCGAGAACATTAACTGGGGGGGGGGGGATTAGTGAAGGCTTCCCAGAGGAGATCTTACCAGTTTATCTAAACCTTTATGGAAGTCAAAGATGTTGAAATTAAACGTGGGGATAAGATTGAGTTAGGGGATGATTTGTATCAATATGTGGAGGCGGGAGAAGGAATTCTAAGTTTGGGGTATAGTTAGTAGTCTAATATCTCTAGAACATGGAGCTCATAAAGGGAAATATTATGAAGTAAGTCTGTAGAGGGAGGCTGTGGCAGATTGCGGAAGGCCTAAAATAGCAGGCTGAAGAGTTTTAATTCTATCCTATAGGCAATAGGGAACCACTGGAGAGTTTTAAAATTTTATTTTTTATTTTTGCATTTAATAATTTTTGAATGGGGGACTGACATAGTCAGATCTGTGCCTAAGAAAGATTATTTTGGCAGCTATGTGGAGGATGGAAGCAGGGAAACCAATCTGATGACTTTTGCAATGGTCCAGGCGAGAAGTAATGAGGACCTGAATTAGCATAGTGGCAGTTTGTGTGGAGAGATCAATAATCAGCTAGACATTTGTTCTGAGCGTGTGTGTGTGTGTGTGTGTGTGTGTGTGTGTGTGTGTGTGTGAGAGAGAGAGAGAGAGAGAGAGAGAGAGATGGATAGCTATTTTTTTTTCTGTCACTCTAGGCATCTAGGTGATGAATTGGACAGAGTGCTAGGCCTGGAGTCAGAAAGACCTGAGTTCAAACACAGCCTCAGATACTAGCCGTGTGACGCCTGGGCAAGTCACTTAACCTCTGCCTGCTTAGTTTCCTCAGCTGTAAAATGGGGATAATAACAACACTTGCTGTGTTGTTGTGAGGATCAAATGATAATATTTACAAAACTCTTAGCACAGAACCTGGCACTTAGCTGTTGCTATAAAAATGCTTATTTTCTCTCCATGACACTTCTTCCTCAAATCCCCCCCAGACCAGACGTGGCAACTGATTAGTTATGGGGATTAAGGGAAAAGGAAAATCAAGGATTTTAATTCAGTAAACATTTCTTGTGTGTCTACTATGTGCCAGGCATGGCTGTAGGCAATGGGGACACAAAGACAAAAATTAAAGCCATCCTTGCCCTCACAGAGCTTTCATTTTACTGGCAAGCTAACAATATGTACCCATTTAACCACTAGATGGCATCATTAGCCCCAATCCTGATTCTATTCACTTTAATTGTTCCCTACCAGTTTGTTCTCTACTCCACTGGGAAGGAGTATTAAGGAAGTCCCAAGTCTTTATAATTCTCAGGAAACAAATGACTTTCTGCTTCTCAGATCCACCTCTCTGTAGGACAACACTATTCTTATCTAGGGAATGTGGATTTTAACTAATTCAAAATCAGCACTTGATCTCCTACCTCTGACCAGCCCTACCTCTTTTTAGAGCTGCCTCTGTTTTATGGATTCCTAATCATGTGGCCTTGATATAATGGAATTGATCTTACAGGAGGATATCAGGTATGCTTAAATAACACCATATGCAACACTGACTTATTATAGGGGGAAAAAAAGAGGACAATACCTAATATAACATCTACCAAAA